GGAAATTTGCAGAGAAGTAGACAACCTGTAAGAAAAAGTTCCAAAGGAGAGCCTGCTGCAGGAAAAGCTTCAGAGAAGGGTCTGCTGCAGGAAAAATTCTGGAGGAGGGGCCTGCTACAGGAAATACTCCGGAGGAGGGTTTTCTGCATAAAAGGCTACTGAGGAGGGTTTGGTGCAGTAAAAATTCTGGAGGGCCTGATATAAGAGAAAGTTCTCGAGGACTTGATGCAGGAAAATGCTCCATAGGAGGGCTTACTGTAGGAAGAATTTCTGTGGAGGACTTGCTGCAGAAAAAACTCTAGAGGAGGGTTTAATGCAGGAAAAGGTTACGAAGGAGGGTCTACTGCAGGAAGAATTCCGGTGGAGGACCTGCTGCAGAAAAAGTCTGGAGGAATCTGTAGAAAGAGGTTGTATTGTAGAGCAACTGGTAAAGCTCATAAATTCTACAGCAATGTACATTGCTTTGATGACGGATATAAGCTCTAAGCTCTTTCAAATTGTCTTTGTCTCTGCGCTGGCCAATTTTCCAATAAATTGAGCCTAGCACTAGAGCAAGCATAGCCTTACTTGATTGTATCCCGGACTCCTCCAATATATATTTCATATGCAGAATTTGAATTGGCCCTAACTGGATTGGGCATAATCAGTTAAGTAAAGATCAGATGCGCCAGGTAATGGCTTAATAAGTTCTACAACCAATGCCACATTTCGCTTCAATTTTTAGTTTTCTTCTACGACGACATAAATTGTTTCCGGCATGCATGCTGCTCGGTTGGCTCCATCATTGATTTTCTGAACTCCAGAAAATTTCTCAAAATATTCTATTAGCTTCTGACAATTCTCACCCAACGGTCCAGAAAAAATTGCTTGGCCCCCTTCTTCAGCAAAAGTGACTTGTCCATGAATTCAAGTATGTCAATGCTTGGTTGGTGGATGGTACTGACAACAGTTCTTCTTGTGTTGACGCTGATTCTCACCGTTCAAAACCTGATGTTGGTTCGATAAGTGGTTGAGGAGGGCTTACAGAGGATGGGGACTGCTAGTAGAAGTTTCGGCTGCGTATATGAATTTCCAACTCCTACAAGAAGGAGGCCTTGATGCAGCAAAAAGACTACAAGAAGATGTCTCCCCCCTAAGGAAGCCTGCAGGAAGGAGAGGATTTTTTTTCCGACTGTAGGAGAAGGTTCCGGCTGCTGAAAAACCTGCAGGATGTAGTTCTGGTGAGGAGAACGGATGCAGGAGAGAGAGCCGGAGGTGGGAGGTCCTGCATGGGATAAATCTGGCTGTAAGAAGGTATTCCAGCTGTTCTGGAGGGAGCTTGGAGTGGCCGGAGGGAGGTCCGGTGGCTGAAACACCTGCTGGAGGATAAGTAGTGGTTGCCTTTAGAAAACCTGCAAAAGTTCTCCACGGGATAAAGAGTTGTTGGGAAGCAAACTGCTGGGAAGATCTCCACGAAAGAAAGAGCTGCTGGGTAGAAAATTGCTGGAAGGATATTTATCCGGATGCTGGAAGGGGTGGGCCAGTTGCAGGAATTTTCTTCTAGTTATTCTCACGAGGATGCTGCATGAAAGCCACGCTGCATATGTTTGGAGATTCACGGGCCTGCAGGAAGTTCTCGGGAGAGCTTTCATGGGCTGCAGGAAGTTCACGGGAAATGCTTTCATGAAAGACTCGCTTACACGTGAAAGCAGGATTTGCGGATAGAGCAGGATTGTCGTATGCAGTGGTCGACTCCAACAGCAGGTTCCTGCGGCGAGGGCCTGTTAGCTGAAGACTCCAGGCAAGCTTGCGGCAATCTGAGAACGGATCTGGCGTTGATGGCTGCCAGAGAAGAAGCGGCAATCTCTGGTTGCGGTAGCTGAGGCAAGAGAAGGGTGTCCCTCCTCATATGGAGGATGGTAGAAAGGGAGTCTGGCAGCTCTGAAAGGAGAACCAGCCTCTAGAGTTGAGGGAATTTAGCTTTGATATCATGTTGAAGTTCAGAATAATGTGGAATGATATTATTGATATGAAACGGAAGTATAAATAAAAAAAAAAACATAAACTAGGAAAGAAAATAACTCCAATCCTAGAAAATAAATTTAATCCTCATAACTTCTAATATGAATATTATTTCCTAATTTAACTTATAAGAGTACTCCTTTTAATGATGCTCTTGTAATGTAGATAAGGTTTTATAACAATTCTTTTTGCTTAACAGGTTTCCTTTTAATGGTGCTCTTGTAATGTAGATAAGGTTTTATAACAATTCTTTTTGCTTAACAGGTTTCTCTTAGAAATTTTGATCTTATAAAATTTCCACCTTAACCATGCACAATAACGAAGCTAATATGAGATAAATTTCTAAGCCAACAATTATTTTTTATATAACTTTGGTATGACTTGAAGATAATTCCTTTGAAAAAGGCGTGCTGATTCCCGATATATGAAGATATGCAGAAGTGATGTGTGTTTTACTCTTGGAATTTTATGTTGATTTAATTATTTCTTCAAAGATTTACATACATACCACATAATTCTTATGAATGTACATATCAAACTCCTAAACTTTAATTTTTACATACATGCCATCTTACCCATGCATCAAACAGTGAATTTCACTTTTAAAAGTTGAAATGGTGGTACTTTTTATTATGATATGAAAGATTTGGGTGGTATTAATGTAAAAAGTTAAGTGTAGATGTTGGATATGTAAATACATAGGAAATGGGTGGTATATATATAAATGCCTCTTATTTATTTTAAAACCCTTACTATCTCTTCAAAATTTTATCTATATTTTACACCAAATTACTGAGGTTTGATCATAGATTTGCTGATGTTTGATGTGGACTTGGATCAATACTAAATCCACTGTCATCTATCTATTGAAGTGAATACATAAAAGTTTAGAGATATACATTATAGCTTCAAAGTTTCTCAAATTAGAAAATGAGAAAACTTTTTATCTGGTATGATGAAATTCATGTTAATTAGTTCAACCGTTCTCTCGGTCCTTTTTGAACATGGCTAGCACAAACACCCCGATTACTTTTCAGGTCAAATTTCCACCTGTAAGAATAAATTTTGTTCCAACCGAAGGATTTTTAAGTACCTGACCTCATTGGTCAGTTAAATAGATCAATTTAAAATACATTACTCCGCTGAGGGAAAAAAAATGATAAAATTCAGTCAGAATAATGGTCATTAGTGCTTTATATGTTGAATGCCATGCAAAATGTTATTTCTTAGGGCCATTTACATACATGCCACACAATTTTCATGTATTTACATATGTAAGACCTAAACATTCATATTTACATGCATAACACTCAAATTGTATCACATAGAAAAAATTACTCTTACTTTTAAGTTCAATGCACATCTTCATGCTTTTGTTTTTGACACCAAAGTGTGATAGATGTAAATATAAAAGTTTAGGCATTAGTTATGTAATTACATAGAATTGTGGGGTACGTATGTGAATTTCCCTATTTCTTATTATTTTCTCTAGTGTCTGTCATTCTCCTATCGAGCAATTGATATCATTCTGGGAGTCATTCTCGTCGAAATATTTTACTGAATTTTATTTTGCCAGCTTCTCTTGCATTACTGATCTTAGATTTTACTATTTCAGGTATGATTGGGCAACAAAAAAGAATCTCAAGGCAGGTTACTTCCTATGGTCAATGGTAGCTTATGGATCAGGTAAGCATTCTTGAACATGGTTAATGCTACTGTGTAATTTTCCAAATTTTCTGGGTTAAAATGTTAAATAAAGCGATCAATCACAAAGTTTGTGGCTTGAATCTGTGAATTTGGAGAAAATCTATTGGTTAAGATCAATAGAAAACCAGCTGATGCCCTGAACTTAGAATATAAATACGGATCTCGTTAGATCGAAATATATACTTAGATGTGCATGCTTGGACTAGGGCTGTCAAAACGGCTCGTTGTTTGCAAACAGCCCGTGTTCGGCTCATTAAGAAGCTCGTGTTCGGTTAATTCGCGAAGTTAAGGAGCCGAACACGAACAAAGAATTGTTCGTTCGTGTTGAGCTCGTTTTGGCTCGACATACTACTCATAATATTAATATATATATATATATATATATTAATGTGTAGTATTTTTAAAAATTTTAATTGACTATAAGGCTGCAAAGATTTATAATCAATTAAAAGTACTAATTAAGAAAATAAAATAAAAATTATTAAATTAGATTCAAATGATATTTTAATATAAACAATCGTTTTTAAATCTTGCCCCAATCCCTAAACATCTTATGGCTACGTGATTGGGGTTGTCAGGACGACTCTTTGTTCGTGAACGGCTCGTGTTCAGCTCGCTAAGCAAACGAGTCGAACACAAACACACTTTTTGAACTTGTAGTATAAACGAGGGCTCAGCTCGTGTTCGACTCGTTTATACCCCTAGCTCGGACCATGTGCTCTTCCTATGGCCTTCCTTGTGAGCTTTGATATTTTATTAGATTTTAGGGGCATTTACATACATACCACCCAATTCCTATTTATTAACATATCTAACACCTAAACTTTGCATTTGACATCTAAACCACTCATACTTTTCATATCACATAAAAAACACCATTATTTTAACATTTAAAGAGTGAAATACACATTTTCATGTATCGGTATGGTGACATATATGTAAAAAATAAATTTAAGATATGTAAATACATAAATATTGAGTGGCATGTATTTAAATCTTCTTTAGATTTTAAGATTGTTGTCATAAGCCCGTGCCTTGAAACAATCGGATGGCAATAGATCATAAACGGTAAAAGGAAATCCATGGACTTGTAGGCATTCTAACATAACAAGCTACAGTTATTAGTGTTTACATGGACTCTATCAGCTATTATTAGAGGGTATTACCGTTCATTGGATGCATTATGCAAATGACACCAAACCAAACTGAACTTGGATATAGAAAAAAAAATGAAGATTTATATACATACCACTTAATTCCTATGTATTTACATATGAGACACCATATTTCTATTTTTATGTATATGCCACATTCTCTGCATGAAAGGTATATTTCACTTTTTAAAAGTTAAGATTGTGGTATTTTATATGTGATAGGAAAGATTCGGGTGGTATAAATGTGAAAAAATAAAGCTTAGTTAGATATGTAAGTAAATATGAATTGGGTGGTATGTGTGGAAATGACCCCCAAAAAAAAACATAATTGATACACCAACAACAAACCTTTATCTCACATGAATCATTTTTCTCCATTGCGTCCTATTGAGTGTCATATTTTCATTTAATTCTAATAAATTAAGATCATTTTTTTATACAATATGCCCAAGTAGTTCTAGGTCTACCTCTCTTAACACGAGCGAATATAAGACATCTACTTTCCTAACCGGATCATTAGATGACCAATTTTTAATGTGACTCTAGTTTTGTCCGCCACTGGAGCTACACCAACCCTATCACAGATATATTCATTTCGCATTTTGTCTCTATGTGCAAAGCTACTCATCCACCTAAGCACTCTCATCTCGACAACACTTAACATCTCAAAATATAGAGAGAATTTTTTTTTCTAATGTTTCAATTTTAGAATTATGCTATCATGGATCAATCATGTTTAGAAACTCCAGTATTGAGTAAATTTCTGTATAGTCATGAACCTAAGGGAGGCTTGAATTTTTTTGTTTGTGTGGATATGAATTAATGTTTTAACTTAATATTAGCAGAAGCCATGTCAATTGTAGATTGCCTGATTCAGTGGAAACTTCACCAATTAATTCATACCTCGAAATTCCAGTCGCACTTGTTCAATTCTTTAGGGCTTATTTGGGACTATTTTTATTTATTTATTTATTTATTTGCTTTTATTTTCAAGAAACTGTTTGTTTCGTGCATTTTTTAATTATTTTTTTTTTACTTGAAAACAACTTAACCTTTTTAAAAACACTCAAAAACAACATTTTGATGTTGAGTGTTTTTAAAAACAATCATCACTAACAAATATATTTTGCTTCGAAGTAAAACATAAACAAATCAAAATAAACATGAAAGTACAAAACAAAAAATAAAATTGATCTCAAAGGGCCCCTAAGCATTTATACTTGCGATATACAGAATGCTGCCACTTTGTCTTTAAAATATTGATGTCAATCGCAAATCTGCATCTAATATTTCAATCCTAGATTATAGTTCGAGGAGAATGTAGGACAGCTTCAATTTTCTAGTGTGCGCATGAATCTAATCCTGAATATTATATTTCAAGAACATGTTAGGAAAATTTCGATTTATAGTCTATTTGCGTATCTTTCTCATTGCTTTGATTTTCAAACTTCTGACACATTTACGTTACGCTGCTACTTTCTATTCTTTTTCAGAAATTTCTATAGTGGGAAATTACCTTTTATAACAGATATGCTGAAGTGTGGTAGGTGTAACAAAGCTGCTACAAATATAAGATGCAGGGCATTTACATACATACCACTCAATTCCTATGTATTCACATATCTAACACGAACTTTATTTTTTACATTTTTACCACCAAATCTTTCATATAACATCAAAATATAACTATTAACTTTTAAAAAGTGAAATACATCTTGTCATGCACAAGTAAGGTGGCATGCATGCAAAACTTAAAATGTTTTGGTGTTAAAATATGCAAATACATGAGAATTGAGTGGCTTTTGTAAATATTCCATAAAATTTTTATAAGACCCACTACAGTTTTTAAAGATGTTACTCTCTGTACAACAACTTCGAAACCACTTTTATAGAAAGCTATAACCGCGCCAAACGAACCCTGATAAGGTTTAGAACGAGTGTTCTACAGCTGTCCGAATCATTACGGAACACTCATGAATGTGTTATTGTGCATGTGATTGTTGCGGAGTGATGGTTAATATGCTTGGGTTAATAATTCCTTATTTGTTTGCCATCTTTACCCAAGACCTATTTTGATTCTTTCTGCACCTTTTTTTTTTCTCTACAGGTCTTCTAATCACCTATGTTGCTCTGAATTTAATGGACGGGCATGGTCAACCGGCTCTTCTCTACATTGTGCCCTTTACGCTTGGTAAGTTGCAACTGAATGAAAATTTACATAGGTATCACAATTTCTTTGGATTTACATATCTAACACCTAAACTCTGATATTTACATTTATAACACCTTGGTGCTATAAATGTATGCACAAAAAGATGCATTTGACTTTTAAAAAGTTAGTAAAAGTGATATTTTTGGTGTGATGTTAAACTATTTGAGTGCTATGATTGTAAATATGAAGATTTAGTTGTTAGATATGTAAATGCATATGATTTATGTGGTATGTATGTAAATGCCTCTATATTTTAATGTTGACTTGTTTTCGAAGTTTCAACATCTTCATTATTGGATTTGTTTTGAGATGAGTTTGATATAGCATTTATAAAAAACTCTTGGACTTTAGTCTTAAAATAAATTAACAATTTTAAAATCTATCCTCATTAATTTTCTTGTCATGATTTCCTCATAATTGAGATAAATACAATATATATGATTAATCCAATGATTTTTCAAATCTATCCTCATCAAATTGTGATTAGGATATCCCAACTCAAATATTTTCCATAGGCTATATAGTATAATTTTGTGTTTGGACATCCTCGCCATTGAATTCACTTTAAGACTCGTGCTATATATGATTAATCAACATCTCTCCTGCCGCACTCATCTTATAACAAATCCACTGATTATAGAGTATATATTCATTGAATTTTGATGAGAACATCATAATCCAAATCTTTTCCATATGTTATATATATATATACATATGCAGTTACATATCTAACACCTAAACTTCGATTTTTACCCACATGCCACCTAAACTATGCTTGAGAAGGTGGTGGTATTTTTTATGAGATATGAAAGATTAGGGGTTTAAATGTAAAAAGAAGAATTTAGCTGTTAGATATGTAAATACATAAGAATTGGGGTGGAATGTACATAAATGGCCTTATTTTTTCTTTATTATTTTGTGGGCTTTCCTGGTTTATGCTCTTGTTCAAATTTTCACAGGCACGTTTTTATCATTGGGTTGGAAAAGAGGTGAATTATGTAACCTTTGGATAAAAGGGCAGCCAGATAGGGTCTGCCCACATATTCAAGCTATTGCTCAGTAGATGACGCAGCAGCTACTGATCTATGATATTGTGAATTGAAGGCTATAAGAATCAGATGTTGCCTTGAGGCTCTTCTTCTATAGCAAACTGTATATTATTGATATGTGGAGGCACTGTTTTATATATATATAAAAATAGTCTCAGCTAACTTATGAGCTTGTTATTAAGAACTTTGTTTTGAATGTTTTTTGCATTTTCTCGTGTGATTTGTCGATACAGGAAGATGTCGTTATTAGGGTTTTGTTCGGATAGTTTTTTTTTACTGCTTAGCTTTGTAGATCGCTAGCACATCGTTATATTTTTGAACTCTTGAATGGGTGTGTTTATACCGTGCAATGATGAAACCATTAGGAATTTTATAAAAATGAATGGGTTGGGGTTTTATCATGAATTTTGATATTTGAGTAAAAATTTGAATAGAGAATTAAGGAGGGTGGTTGATTTGTAAGTAGTAAGTTTCAGTTGATATGTATGTAATTGCCCCCAAAAGGAGTTTTGAGTGAGAATTTGAAAAATAGTGAAAAGAGTGTTAGGTTTGTAAATAAGAAAGTTTTGAGTGATGTTATGTAGTTGGATGGTTACATCCTTAACATTTAAAATTTTTGCTATTTGGAAAATCAGTACTGGTCATATTTTCTGCTATTTTGGCATCAACTAGTCTGCTATTAGCTACAATGTACATTAATATCTTAAAATAATTTTAATTCCTATTATTTTTTATTTTTTATGTTTTCTTTCATGTTAGTCTTATATTTTGGAAATTTCTATTTTCAAGCACTCATAAGTGGTTTTATAATCATCATGAATTTCCATATATTTTAATCATTTATACTGGTCATATTTTCTGCTATTTTGGCATCAACTACAGTCTGCTATTAGCTACAATGCACATTAATATCTTAAAATAATTCTAATTCCTATTATTTTTTTATTTTTTTTATCTTTTCTTTCATGTTAGTCTTATATTTTTGAAATTTCTATTTTCAAACACTCATAAGTGGTCTTATAATCATCATGAGTTTTCCAAATATTTTAATCATTTTAGAAGATTACAAGCAAAGAAAGGCTTAATGATTCCTTGGAACCAAAAGAATCCATTATGAAAATCACTATAGCTCGTCAAAACTATTAATGTATGTATGACCTCACTAACCAGACCAAAAAAATTGAACAAAGATGTGTGTATGGGTTGACATCAATAGGTAGACATTAGAAGGAATCATTAAGAGTTTCATTGCTAAATGACAACCTCACTAACCAGACCAAAAAAATTGAACAAAGATGTATGGGTTGACATCAATAGATAGACACTAGAAGGGCAGAAATACAATCTAAAAACAATAGGATAAAAATACAAGATTCATAGTATGTAGACAATCCCAACCATTTGGAGTATCCATACCTCATGGGCGTTTACAATTTGGGGAACTTTGCGAACCTAAAATCACTTGACTTTCATTGCTAGATGACAATGTTTGTGAAGTACAACACACATTTGATGGATTATTATTAAGGTGAGAAGATAAACTAAATGAGGATCAATTGCTAGAAAACAATGACAAGCTACTGAAGTGCTCTATAAATTGACAAGAAATTGTGTATGATATACAATGTCGAAGGACCATCTTCGTTCCCTCACCTTCAACTTGATTCATAAGAATGAATCATCTCCTACGAGTAAAAAAGGATAACTAGAATATACAAAAAGAGGATGTAGAGAAGAAGGATCAAGAAGTTCCCAATAGAACATGTAGTAATATAATTTTATGACACGAGGACGATTTAGTAAAGATCGACCTCAATTCAAGCTCTTAAAGAAAAACTTGTTTGCTAACAATTACGGTTCATCTTGCCTTGCTAAGTTGTTTGGTTTTAGTAGCTCAAGTGCTACGTCTAAGATACCAACCATCCATCTCAAGACCAAATTCACAACTCCTTGGCATAATTTCTTCCAACAGGGATTCTTATCATTTAAATCTTAAAAGATTTTATTTTAAAAAAAAAATTTAATTTCTCTTAATAAAATGGGGGATTGACATAGATACTACACAAATTTTATATCTTTATGTATCTAACACCTAAATTTTCATATTTACAAAACACTCAAATATTTAAAATCACATCATAGATAAAACACAATTATTACCTTTTAAAAGTGAAATATATCTTTTTTATACATATGCTTATGACACCAGTGTTATAACTACAAAATGTCAAATTTTTTGTGTTAGATATGTAATTGCATAAGAATGGTATGGTATATATGCAAATCAACTCCCCCCAAAAAATACAAAAAAAAAAAGGTTTCAAGTTGTCACATATTGATTTAATTTCAAGCTTGCCTTAAAACTCTGAAATATTTTTTACCATAACAATTTTTATCATAACTAGCATTTTCCTTGCACTCTTTATTCATAATTCAGATGTTAAAGTGAGATACCATATGACAATTCTGAACATAAATAATAATGAACTGCAAATATTTGAAGAAAGATATTTCCAGCTTTCTAATCTATATTATTGAACATAATGAAATCTTATAACTCATATTAATCTCATTGCAACCTATTTCACCCATAAAATTTGCATAAATTAACAAACCCAAAAACTAAAACAAGTACATAGCTAGCTTCCTACAGCATCTTGAAGTAGAAGTTCGTGTACCTCAAATAAGGCCTTTATGGCTCAGTTACAGTCTCTATTCATGACTTCTTTTCGGCTATCAATAGTAAATAAGATTTCGTTGAAGTATCGCGTTCACTTCGGCGTCCTTTTTTGATCAATTTCTGCAACATTGATCATTCATATTTGATGAGTCATGAAGGAGATGGAAGATAAAGGAGGCATTATCATACATTCCACCCAATTTCTATGTATTTACAAATGCAAGTAACATTTTAAATTTTTTTTTTTTTCACATTTATATTAAATGAAAAACACGGCTATTTTAACTTTTTAAAATGTGAAATACACTTTTTGATGCATTGGTAAAATGACATACATGTAAAAATCGAACTTTCGGCGATAGAAATGTAAATACATAGAAATTGGGTGATATGCAAGTAAAACTCCCAATATAAAAAGATATATAGGTTCAGAACAAAACAAATTGATTGTCTTCTCATTAGGGGTTATTTGAGATTAAGTTATATTTTTTTATCTTTTTATTTTGTAATGTTTAAATATGAAATAAAAACATGTTTACTTTTAATACTTCTGGGTTTACTTTTGATGTTGTCCTATTTCATTGGAGTCTTAAGATTTGTGCTGTAAGCTTCTTTTTGTAAACACTTCGTAATATTTTTCCGCTTTTAATAAAACTCTATTTCATTGGAGTCTTAAGAAGTGCTGCCCAAAAAGGATCAATGGGATCACCAGTTGGGGAAATCCCGCGACCAAGGAACTGACAGCCGCCCGAGTGTTTTCCAATTTAAGGTTTTTTGTTTTCTTTCCTATTCCTCTATGTTTAAATTAGGTTAATTTCAATTATTGAGCTTTTATAAATTTCTTATTTGGTTGTTTGAGACCATAGTTTTTGAGTTATGAATTTTAAGAGACTTTTTTTGTGTTTGTATTTTAGAGAGTATAAGCTCTGATTTCTATCCTAAGCAGTGTTGTATCATTTTCTTTTAGCAATTGATGTGTATACAGCTTGTGCAGGAACAGATGATGAATCTCCTCAACATATGCACAGCACTCTTTCATGGTTCTCTTTGTTGTTTGCAGGTGGGACAGTTGAAAATCATCTAATCTCACTCCAAATATCACCAATCGGCCATATTGCATTCCCCAACTATTCCTCCACCTACTTCCAATCAATGAAACACCTTCTAAATGCCCTACAGTGATATCATACAATATCAGAGCCCGACAAACCCTAAATTAGTTAATAAATTGTCTTTCTTGTTCCAATCTAAAATTCTAAAAGAAAATTTCCACCGTACCTAAATCATTCCAACTGCAGTTCCTAACCCCAACCTTAAATTTTCAAAATCCACCCCAAAACGTACGACATAAACCCTACACTTCGATTAACCCTTTATCTACAACCCAACATCCATCGAAACCTTGATCGAGAGAAAATGACACAATAATGCCTAAGAGGAATCCACAAAACGGTGTCCAAAAACTTACTATGGAGATTATGCAACTAAAAAACCTTTGATTGCAATAAAGACTTGCCACCAAAGAGGAGACAACCCGGAGATGTCACCCATAGTCACAATGGTGATTGGCCACATCAAGTGGAAAAAATAAATCTGATACCGGAATTAACCCAAACCATAGCGCAAGACATGAATTTATTACTGACTTAAAACAAAGTTACAATGAAGATTCGAAATAACAAAAGAGAACACACAAAGCAAAACCACAATACGAATGATTACAACTAATGACTTAGCAAAGAAGACACAACCGCTTGATGAGGAGGGAGTCCAGCGAGGAATGGCTGGATTGATGGTTGTAGGGGCTGCTGTTGAAGAAGTGGGACATCAAATTGGCGATAGTAACAACATCGAACCGCAACTGGAGAGGTGCAGGAGCGTTGTCGTCGACTGAATTGGCGGCTGCGCTGAAGCTGGAGAGGTGGGGCTGATGTGGAAGAAGTAGGACAGTAGGTAGGCGATAGTAACGGTGTCAAACCACAGTTAGAAAGGTGCAGAAACGTCATCGGAGGTTGGATTGGCGATTGCTGTGACAGCCGGAAAGTTTAGGTGTAGACATGTAAATACCAAAGAATTGAGTGGTATGCATGTAAATATTTTATATCTAAACTTCACTTTTTACATTATGCCACCTTACCTATGTATGAGAAATTGTATTTCAATTTAAACATTAAAATAGTGGTATTTTTTATGTGATATAAATGATTTTGGTGGTACAAATGACTATAACCATGATAGGGTTGGTGTAGCTCCAATGACGGAAAAATGAAGAGAGTCGTCTTGGATGGTTTGGTCACATTAAACGTCGACCATCTGATGATCCGATTAGGAGAGTAGATGTTTTAGATTCGACTTATGTTAAGAAAGGCAGAGATATACCTAGGAAAACTAGGGCATATTGTATAAAAAATGATCTTAATTTTATAAAATTAAATGAATATATGACATTAAATAAGACGCAAGGAGAAAAAGGATTAAGGTAACCGACCCCACTTAGTAGGATAAAGGTTCTGTTGTTGTTGTTGTTGATGATGATGTTGTTGGGTGGTATAAATGTATAGAAGTTTAGTTTAGGTGTTAGTTATGCAAATAAATAAGAATTCGGTGGTATTTATCACCAAAAGATTAGTAATTTAGCAAGATATGGCACACAAAACATCAGCAATGAGAGAGAATGGGCCATGATCAGACCTGCATCTCTGGTTAGAACTATTTCCAGTAGTTAAATTTGAAACAAGCCTTCTTTCTCGACTCAGAGATAAAATTTCTTGCATTCTTTCAGGCCAATCACAGTTCAATCTCCTTGCAAAATCCTCAACCTCCCTGCAAGATAAAACTACTTGAACTTAATGATTTTTTGTTGGGCCATTTACAAACATACCATCCAATTCTTATGATTTCATATACATAGCACCTAAACTTTGTTTTTTTACATTTAAAACACCCATATGTTTCATGCATAGGTAAGATAACATATATGTAAAAATTGAAGTTAGGCGTTAGTATGTAAATACATAAGAATTGAGTGGTATGCTTGTAAATCTTCCTTAAAAAATTCTTCAGAAATTATTATCTACAAACAAATAGATTTACATGCATACCACTCAAGCCTTATGTATTTACATATCTAACACTTAAGAACTCAATTTTTACATACATGACATCTTACCAAAGCATTAAAAGGTAGTTTTAACTTTTTAGTGGCATAAAGGTCAAAGGCAAAATTTAGGTGTTAGACATGTAAAAACAGAAGAATTGGGTGGTATGTATGCAGATGCCTCTTTTTATAAAATTTAGTTCCAAGTGGAACCAAAGACGGGCAAATGAGTAAGAGAATCATCGGCATTAAAAGTACGAAGAACTGTAAAATTACCTATCCAGCTCTTCCTTCATCAGAGGATCCAATCCATCATCACCGTCATCAATCATGGCCCTTGAATCAAAAGCATCTTCAACTTGGTCTTGCAGTCTGGATATTTGACTTGGAGATGAACTTCCAGCTTTGGTAGCCTCCTAAATTTCAAATCCAAATATTTTATGTTAAAATTAAATAGTAAGATTTACATACATAATTGCACTTGCATAAAATATGATAGAAAAGTAAACACTCTTCATCAACCTCCTTGGATTCTTTTTCTTGTTCATTATCAGACGAATCTTTCATCAGATCATTTCTCCTCTTATTCTTCTTCTTTCTCGAAGCTCTACCATCTTTTGAGTCTATCATTAAAAAAAGGAAGAAAAAAATAGCTTATGAAGCAAAGAAAATATGCCAACCATAAAAATAGTTATTCTCATAAAATCATAAAATAGATGCATGGAAATCACCTAAAACAAATAAAAAAATTAGTCAATTAATATATAAAAAACCTTTTTGTTAGCATTATATATAGATCAGTCAGATTTCTTAAGATAACGCAAGAATTAGCAGTGGAAATGAAAACCAATATTAGATCTTTTAGCTTGAATTTTAGAATAAATAAGAAAACGGCGCAGTTATCATATGAGAATATTGTCAAAATAGTCCTCCGACTCTTTGTAGAGGGTTATTTTAATCTCAGAGTATATAAAAGTGTCAATTTAGTTCCAGACTTTTTTAATATGGGCAGAAATAATCCCCATAGAGGACTATTTCGATCCTAATTTAAAGAATTTAGGACAAATTTGGTAATTTTATATAATGAGACTAACATAACCCCATGTAAAAAGTCGGAAGACTTTTACCATTTTACTCTTTATTATATATATAAGATTGAGTGATGTGGGAGCTCTCCAGAATTGCGGGAGCGGGGATTACATGATCTCGATCGTGGGGCTCCTGTGGTATTACAAGTCAGCATTACATGATCTCGATCGTGGGGCTCCTGTGGTATTAGAAGTCAGCAAGATTGCGGGCTCGGCAAACCGTAACTTCACATAATGTTACCTATTTCAGCCAACTTTCCTTTTCTATTCATTTCCTATTTCTCTCCTTCTACTTAAAAGTTATTTTCTATTACAACACTATTTATAGACGATATTTTGCTATTTTGAGAATAGAGTTTTGTTCAAGTATTTTAGATATTATATTTACTGTTTTCTATCTAAAGAGTGTTGTATTATTTTACTTTTGCAAGCGGTGTATATGTAGTTTGTTAAAGGAGCAAGTAGTGAACCACCTCGACCTCCATACCTTGTCTTTTCATCTTCCACCTCAGTATTTTCAGCCGAGACAGCAGATGACCAACGCCAAATGCGCTGTCCAGATTTCACCTCACCACTTCCAAATACAGTCACCCTTGCATATTTTCATTCCCCTACTATTCCACAATCACCTCCCCGCTAAATCCCCTTCAAGAAGCCCTAGAACGGTGTCGCTGTGCCAATGGAATTTATCATGATCTGAATATGGAAAGAATCTAAGTTTTAAGATTATGATAACTTGAAGAAATCTTTAACATTTCTACATTATTTTAGAGAACATTACTTAATAGTTTCTCAAGGTTACACTGCTATTCTATATGATATAAGGTCACCTTAATTTTTTTATGCACGACACTCCCTCTGTTATCTTCAACAGATTCTATACTATTGAGTCGAAAATATACTCCTTGAGTTGATCCATTTAATCTCCAAGTGAGAATAACATAATCCAATGTTTTCCATTTTGAGATCTTGTGATGTAATTGTGAGTAAGAGATGCATCAGGGTGAGAGTTTGTCGGATAAATTGACAAGGATGCCAAGGGCTCTCAATCAAGAGATATTTGTAGCACGGAACATGATTGCGATGTTGATGATGAATAAGAGTTTCAAATTATTGAGAGATAAGTCATCAACTCTTCGTAACATAGAGCTACAGAAGGCAAGAATGAACATATATCATCGGAAAAAGATACATGAGAAAAAATAACAAGTGAGTGCGACTAAATTAAGAATAGGAAGGTAACAGCTAGTGTTTCCCTTCTCAGATAACTTGCTAAAAAAATATTTTTATGAATCGTTATTTAGTAAGAGAACTGCCTATTTAAAATAAGAAAAATAATACAATATTCAAAAGGAACACCTAATAAACATGGATAACTAGGCATAACAAGGACACTTAAGAAGAATGATAACTCTTACAAAAACATTATTTCCATGATTGCCTGCCTTGTAAGGCAGTTTTATGACAACATTTATTTTACATCCCAGAAAAATCTTGTAAAATTATAAGGTTCTAGAGATCCACATGTTAAGCCAAGAAGGTTATCATAAATACTTCTCACAAGATAATCATGAATTAGCTAGAATATCTTACAAAAATTCCCCAGTGAAGCTCAAGTCTATGTGCTATATTAGCTTTAATTCTATTCTCATTTACCAAAGATTTCAAATAGTAAAATTCATGGGTAATATTACATAACAAAATGAGCAGATGGAAGTAAAACTCGACAGTCAAGCAAATGGAGCAAATTTTAAGTCATGAACATATGCTAATTAGCATATAATAAAATAAGAACTATGAAGTTAGTTCCACTCATTCCAGAACTTTCAATAAAAAATTTAGGGCATTTACATACATAGCACACAATTCTTATGTATTTACATATAAAAATGAAGTTATCTGGCATCTAAACTTTTATATTTACACATATGGCACTAAAATCATTAATATTACATAAAATCAGCACTATCATCACCTTTTAAAAGTGATACAACTTTTCATGTATAGGTTTGAAACACCAAAGTGCTATGTATGTAAATATGAAAGTATAGATGTGAGATATGTAAGAAAACATAATAATTGGGTGCTATATATGTAAATTTCTTAAAATAAAAAAATTGGGAGAACAAAAATATTACCCGCATCACCATTAATAAAAGATAAAAGCTCATCAACAGAGCGATCATCTTTCTTCTCTTCTACTTCAAGATTCTGAAACAATCATCTCTTTAGACCCAATCAAATTAGAAAATCAAACGTATATGAAAAAGCATGTAAATGTATAATCCACATAATTTTATCGAAATAGCTTATAATAGCCATACTACCTTCACTTTCTGCCGCTCCTTTAATTCCTTTCTCTTTCTAGCATAAAGCCGATTAAGCAGCCGGATCCGTGGATCGTCAGTCATGTTTTTCAATGGCTCCAACTTCTCCTCCTAAAACAGGCAGATGAAGAAGATCACAAGAGAGTAAAAGGGAACATCAACATACATACCACTCAATTCTTGTGAATTAACGTCTAAAACCTAAGTTTTATTTTTTTTATTACATTTATACCACCCAAATCTTTCATGTCACATCAAAAATACCACCATTTTAACTTTAAAAGTGAAATACAACTTTTTCACGAATAGGTAAGTTGGGATGCATGTAAAAATTGAAGTTTAGGTGTTAGATATGTAAATAAATAGAAATTAAGTGGTATATATGCAAATTTCCCAATAAAAAAAGGATTTTTTCCAGTAAATTGATTACCTCTGTCAGATCATTAGGCAAATGAAAGGTCTCACGAATTTCTTCCGGTGTTTTTCCTTCAATCATGCGAGCAAGTGCCCTACTAGTTAGATCAACTAAAGGTTTTAGTTGAAGACAGTCTGCTGCAGAAGTAAGCTCACAAAGTCGTTTAGTATCTAATTTAGCGAACCTCTCATCAAAATACTTGCGCTCCTGCAAGACAAATGGCAGACTTCACCAAACATTGAAAAGTGAGGCATTATAGTTTTCTCCGACGATTAATGATGAAATTTTGCATTAGATGCTATCCATTTGACAAATTCTCAACAAATGCTAGTGCCAAAAAAGTAAAGGGTCATTCACATACATGCCACTCAATTCCTATGTATTTACATATCAACACCTAAACTTTACTTTTACATTTATACCATCTTTTACAATATTACATCAAAAATACCACCATTTTAACTTTTAAAAAGTGAGATGCATATTTTCATACATAGATTCTCACATCTAATCCTAACAATATATTTGAGCAATTTAAAATTGAAGTTTAGGTGTTAGATATGCAAATAAATAAGAATTGAGTGGTACGTATGTAAATAAAAAAAAAATGTAAAAACATCAACTGGCCTATGAATGGCTAGAACACTATGACCAATAACGTAAAAACATCAACTGACCTATGAATGGCTAGAACGCTATGACCAACCTTGTTAGAACGACCGGGAACTTGATGAAACCGACAATAATCGAGAATTAAACAGAGGATGGCAGGAGTGACTCGTTGTGGGAGAGCGATGGCAAAATTTTTCGAAGAACCCATACCAGTCTGAAGTATCTCTTGACATATCATGGGGCAGAACATTGCAACCTCCTCTTCTACTTGTTGGTGTGATCCATCAGAACATTGAAGCCAAATGAAAGATTTCATTGCCTGAAAGATAATCTGAATGTAATTATCGATAATTTTAGAATAAATGGTGAAACAATGATATTCATAATCCATTGGCATGTACGACTAGTATGTTTTTTTTTTATATTGATTTTTATTTTCTATATATATATATCATTGTTTCACCATTTAGAATAAAAAAAAATCAACCAAAAGTTCAAACGAAAGAAAATTAAGTTTTTACGCAATTGAAACATACTTGAATGTCTAATCAGTATCCACATGTGAAATTAGGAAACAAAAAAATATCTAATTTAAAGGATAATCAGATAAAGCACCTTCCCTTTTTTTCCTTTTTTTCCCTAC